TGATGCTTCTCCACTCTTAAAAGATATCTGGAGCACAACCGTATCAGTAAGACATGAAGATATAACCAGGGAGCAAGACCAAATGGTAGTTTAGGCCACACTATTCTTTGGAAGGAAGTTATTTCAGTTCAATTGAAATTACAACTAAGTTACTTCCCTACGGGAAATACTCTACAAAAATGGCAAACTGACAGAGTATTTGCTCTGTCATTTGTACCTCAACGTCTTCCCAACATCTTTGGCATCTATGCATCTGCTCCATTTGATCCATTTTTTGTAGCACAACTTCCGCAGTACTAAGATACAAAGTTGACATGGAAGAGCAAAGTTAGGCATGTATGAAAAAAATAAAACAGCACACATAATCAATAAGAGATTTTAATGTGGTATGCACAAAGCAAAAGTCATTGACGCTTAGCCAAGATTTTAGACATTAACAAAAAATTAGGTCAAATCTTTATTTTTGATAGAGATTTAAGAACAAGTTTTTGAGGATTTGCAAACATATTTTCAGGTTTATTTTCCCCTCTTACTGAGCACATTTAGAATATATATATATTTAAATGCAGGAGGAAAATAAGAATTCTGACATCCTAATAAGATGTTATAAAAAAATTATGTCAACTTTTAATCCTACTTTAGTTGCTCTGCACAGTAGCATTAAGTCATTTTTTGTTAACCGAGGAAAGGCTGTTTGTTCTTCTCTACACGGGAATCTAAGTTTCGTGTTGTAGAAAATGATGAAATGAAAGAAAAGCAAATTCTGAAGCAGAAAACAATTTTGGCTTCAGAAACAGAAATAAACCACGGACAGAAACGCAGAATCGCTAGGACTACTTTGCTTTGACTGTATCAAACTGTCCTCAGTTTCTTAACCAAGCATTACATTCACTTTTGTGAGTATGGAACAAAAAGTTCATTAAAAATGACGGCACTTCTGACGCTAAGAAAACTGCCAAATGGGGAAAACTCAACGAATTGAACTCTCAATGCCAGGAGCAGCCATACCTCTTTGCTGACAAAATAAAGAGCAAGTTGAGGACAACATCATGCCATAGCGCAAAGGCTTGCTAAGAAATATCATTTTAAGAGGTCTGCAAGAAAAGATGACTTACTTTGTTATAAGTTTGTCAAATAGAATGGACGAGTTAGTAGTAGAGTACCGACTGCGTTGGACTCTACAGCTGCGGCGCAGCTCCAAGTCCCTGTTTTCTCCATGGACTTGTCTCACAGTTTTTGCACCAGCTCTACTCCTCGATGTTCTGGTGACTGAAACGCAGAAACAAAGTATTTTGAAACAGTGAAGATGGGATTCTCCTTATTTCACCGTTGCTCTTGTAAAATGTAAACAGACAAACAAAAAAGGCACCCTGAAGTGGATTGATTTTTCTTTACATTTCAGATCAGAAGTTGTTGTCACAACCACTGCATTCCACTTATTTATCGCTCTGCACGTTTAAACTGTCTACTTAAAACTGTGACCCGTAGAGAAATTTTTAAAGAGACTGAAAGCTAGCCAGACAAAAACAAACGTGCAACTTTTGTTCCATGCAGGAGGGAAATTTACTCCAGTTACTTCTGTCTTGGAAAAGTGAGAACAATCAACACCTTTCTCTAAGGTGTTTTCACTCCATTCATGTAGAACTGTATCTAACAGTGCTCAAAAAAAAAAATAGTACATTGCAAGCCTCTTCCTAAGAGGTGTATGTTTTATTACTCTGTTTCTGCATGCAGCACTTTCATTTCCTGCATTATGATCTAACAGCTCAAGGAGGTAAGAATCGTTCCAAGAGAAACACCCAAACACTAGGTAACTCAAACTTGTGCTTTTTAGAAAAAAGCCTGCCCATTGTTTACCATACAGCACCCTTTGGCACAGGTTTGTTGCTTGCACTGTCATTAAAAGAGCCAAGAGGACAAGGGGAAGGGAAGAGCTACACCACTGTGGTGGTAGGATCACAGCTAAGGTTTGGTTTTGTGGTTGCCAACTATAAAACTAAGTTTGAACTTACCAAGTATCAATTTACTTTGCACAATTAGAACACTTTCCTTTGTGCCTATGAAGCTGCAATTCACACTGCTCCCTGCCCAAGGAATTCATAAAATCTCCTATTTGCACCTACCTCTCTTCACAGAAAAGTCACTGATGAGTGAATTCAGCTGAGTACAAAAGGCTTTGGGGCCAAATGAAAGCGATGGAGTGACCAAGTGCCATCCTCTTCAGTAACCAGCATAAATAGGTATCCCAGGGAGTTACAGCCACTTACCTGTGTTATACTCTTTTTCTCGTTCCAATTTCGGCTTTCTCAACTGCCTACATTAAGAAAGAGGACAGGGGAGAGAAGGGAGAAAAGACTTTTTGTATTAGACCCATCAAGGATGGGAAATTTCACCAGGTTTACAAGCCAGTGCTCCATGGTATACTAAGAGAAGCCTGTAGCCTCACGGAGGATCAAGATCCCAAGTCTGTTGCGTACCATATACACGTGGTTCTGTATGTACCCCCATTTCCTAGCTTGCTCATGTTGAATTCTCAAAATTATGAGCAATAGCACCCAAGTGGAAAGGATACATGTCCTGGTTTCAGTTAGGACAGAGTTAGTTCTCCTAGTAGCGGGTAGGTTGCTATGTTTTGGTTAGGATGTGTAAAAGGATGTTTAGAAGAATTGTACATCACTTGTTTTATACACATTACTATTAGCAGTACTATCATCATCATCATTATTATTTTCCTGTCTTAATAAACTGTCTTTATCTCAACTCAAAGGCTTCACTCCCCCATCCCAGAGAGGGAGGTGGGAGGGTTGGCGAAGGGCTGTGTGGTGTTTAACCCGGCTGGCAGCTAAACCACAACAACACCTCAAAGGGGTTGGGAAAAAAACACATGTTTTTTTTTAGAAAAGCAGAAGACTTTCACTGAGAAGAGGGATTCTAGTTTTAAGGTACTGGTACCGCCATCAGCATGCTCATAGGCCTCTGCTGATTTTAGCCGGAGGTTTATCAGGCCACGACTCACTGCACATGCTTTCTCTCTTGCTTTTCAATCTACAAATCGAACAGAGATTGAACATATAGAAATACAGTACCCTGAAAAGTCTCTTCTGTTGACATTTCCCCTCAGTATCGCCATACTTCCTTCAAAGCTGGAGTCCGAACACCGCAGGATGCTTTTTCTCATTGATCTTAAACAGTGTCCGTTGAAACATTCAATACTGGTAGAAGAATAATCCTAGGGAAAGAAGGAAATAAGAATATATTTATGTGAACCACGTAGATTCAGATAAAGAAATTCTGCCTCACGCAAGTTTAATTAACCCTCCTGACTTGGTAGTGGGGCAACTAATGGCAGGCAGACACTGGAACACCGCTGTGCTCAAGAAAAACCCGGGAAAAAAAAAAAAAAAAAAAAGCTTTCAAAACTAAAGCTTCCCTCTCCCCACCATTTTCTTGTGGATAACTTAAGCTTAATATCCTTGGCAAAAAGATATTGCAGCAAAACCTTTCACATAAACTTAGTGCTTCGTGAAAAACAACAACAAAATACTTTAAATTCAATTGGAATTTTTTTTCAATAAATTCAATTGGAATTTAAATTCAAAACTTTAAATTCAATTGAATTTAAATTAAAAAAAATAAACTAATTAATTTAAATTAAAAAAATTAAATTCAATTGACTGTTCAGAGGAACAGTCAAGCTTGACATTATACATCCTAGAATTAAAATCTAGTTAAGAGTTTTTCTCCCATCTCCAGACCTTGCTAAAGATGCTTATTAGGAGCTCTGTCAAAAAAAGTCAGGCTCGTTATACCAAAGCTTTGAACCCTTCTTACTGCCCTTGACATTCTTCACATTGCTGCTACAAGGGTGAGTACTATCATTTCTAGTACGGGAGGGAAGCTGTGATATCCTTGAGCGGGGACTCGTTCTGTTTACAAAATCAAGTTTCAGTAAGAGTACCTCAAACCAAATTTCACTCAAAAGCCAGAAAATAGACAAGATTCTTCTGCTTCTCAGCACCAACTTTACTAAGAGCTTAGTTAGTGTTTGCTCAAGGTAACAGCAAAGGCATGAAGAAGTTATAGGAGGGCACTGGTAAGGGCACGTGGGAGAACGCTTTTCTTCCTCCTGTTCTCCGTGCTGATAGAGAGGGGCCTCACGAGATGCTTGCCCTAGCACGAGTTTGAATCCAGGCACCTGAAACAACTCTTGAAGACATTTTTTGTTCCCTAGATCCAGCAGAAATGAAACAAGACCTAAAGCTTGATGAGACCAGCCTGGTCTGTCACGGTGATGTTTAACGGTTTTCCTCTGGGAGGCTTAAGAAAGAAAAGAGTGGAATAACTCGGGACACCTCTGTACACATAGTTACGCATTTATTTGATGACTTCTCTGCAACAAGCACAGTGCCGTGTACTCGTGTTATTCTTTATCAGCTCTTCTTTTATCTTCACCTTGTCTCAAACAAGGGCACAGCCAGGAACAACGGACCAGGAACCCTGATCATCCTCTGGCTCCTATGAAAGCATCCCAAGTCAGTGAGACAGCAGATGCTGAGAAGCACTACGTTACCTGCAGCAGGCTGCCAGCAGGGCAGAACCGGCTCGTATCAGTCATACAAGGCTGAAAAAACGCACTCAAGAAGTGAAATTCAGCAGAAGCAAGTGGCTAAACCAGAACAAGGAAACTGCAGGAAGGAATTTTGTAGTAGTTTGAAAGTTATTTTCCTCCTACTACGGGCAGTGATCAACAATCGCTTCTAAGAAGTTAGCTGTCGGGTGTCTCTAAGGAAGTAAGCAGATGCTCAAGTGCCAGCCAAACAGGTAAGTGTGTTTAGGCTACGAGCTCTGGTGTCAAGTCCCTACGCAGATGACTCAGGAAGGCTCAGCAGAGAAAAGGGCCACTTCCCACTTTCCCCAAACAAAAAGGGAACTCTGGAGCACACGGGTGTCAAGTACAGGTCACAACAAAACGACCTGGTTCAGCCTGAGGAATTACAGCGGGGTTGTAAAGCTGCAGACAAACAGCCTCCAGAGGGACAGCAGCCGCTTACGGTCTGCCACAGGACTCCTTGGGACTGGAAACTTGGGAGAAGACGAAGCCATCAGACTCCAGTTTCCCTGAGACTTTCTGCTGCATGCTCCTTAATCTAGATGGATGAAATATGCCAAATAACTGGAGGTAAACGGCTTGCTGATATTGGGGAAGCTGCAAAAGCTGCTATTGCCATGTCTTTGCGCACCAGAAAGTTAGGGAAGAGACATTAGGATGTGAACATGCAGCTAGGAGCAGGATCCCCATCTCTGTCATCTAGGGCACTTCTACATGTCTCCGCTATTTGAGTGCTCCAGCAAAGCCTGGCGGTCCTACAAACGAAACAGGAGTGACTCTGTGCCTTGAAGCATGGGAAAGTTCTGCAAAGAGGTGAGAAAACACAAAGAAAGAAACCAAACCAAACACACCTTACAACCTGTTTCATGAGAAGGAACATTTCCTTTCGCTTCAGTGAAAACTTTACACTTAACTTCCTCATTCCTGCTCCCACAACGAAAGCGGGCCGGCTGTTTGCCCTGCCTGCCTTTGCACAGCTTTCCCTCACGTGCCTCGTGCAGCTCAAGTCCTTGCAGGCTTTGACAACCGCTTCTCATGCACATTGCAACGGCAAAGTGGAGATATTGAAGCAGCTTCTAGCGCCTGCTTGCAAAGAGAAGACACACCAAGGGCTGCTTCCTGCTTAGTTCAGTAGACTTAAATGAGAAGGGGGAAGAGAAAAAGCAAAACAAAACCCCAGCCTGAACCTAAACAGCCGAGAACGCTGAGCTTGTCGGCGCAGAGAGCTGAAAGCATCGCTTTGAGGCAGGGCTCACCCTGAGAGCTGTAAGGTGGTTTGAGGTGGTTCTGCTCTGCCTTTGGGAAGAGCAGAGCTTTACCTCTAGCTAGCTGTGTGTACAGCAGCCAACTCCTCCAGGTGATGCTGAGCGGGGATGGGAGCAGCAAGACGGAGCTGGAAATGGTGTGGATGAAATACCAGACACACAAATCGTCCCTAAGAGCAAATCAGGGTTTTCCCTAACACCAGCAAACCCTTGAGGGAAGTCGTAACCACATTACACCCCCTAACTAACGGTTGTTTTCCCTTCAGCACTAATTAACCCTGATTTTTAGCCTTGCTCTCCGAGCCCCCTCAGCACCCCCCGCGTGGCCGCCTGAGGGGGGGGAGGTTGGTGAACGAACCCCGCCCGGGCTCGCTCGGAGGGAACCCTTCAGAACTCACGGCCGGGGCTGCTCTCTGCCTGCTCGTCCTCCTGCCGCCGGGCTGCAGCGAGAGGAACTCGGAGCTCGAGTCCATGGCGGCCAGGGACTGCCGGCAGCTGCGCCTCAGCACCACCATGGCGGCGCCGCACAGCGCTGCAGATCCCTCCGCCTCACACGGAGCCCTCCATCTCCTTCCTCCCCTTTCTTCCCTCCTCGCCGCAGGTTTCCCTCTCCCCGCCGTCACGGAGGGCCGGCTTCGCCCGCTCTTTTTTTCTTTTTTTGGAAGTATTTTTGAAATCTTTCCCGGCGGAGGGTTAGATTTAGGGGCCTCAGCACCGTTTGAGCCTTTTGGCGGGCGGGAAGCGGCGCGTGCCGCCCCCTCAGGCGAGCACCGCCTCCTCACGGGCTCCGCGCCCGCCCTCAGGCGGCTCCCTCAGGAGCCCGGCCCCGTTCCCCAGCACGGGAAATCTCCCCCCGGAGCATGGCGGAGCTGGATGAGGACCGGTACCGGTACCGGTGCCTCCCCGAGCCGCCTGCGCCTACACCGGCTGCTCCTGGTAAGGGAGGCGCCTCAAAATGGAGGCTGGCGGCGCGCTGAGGGGGGAGCTGGAAACGGAGCTAAAAACCCCGCAGGGAAACCTTCCCGGCCCGGTTTGGGTTGTTGGAGGTGAAGGTGAAAAGGGGATTGAAAAAAAAAAAAAAAAAGGTGCCGTCGACGGTTGTGTTTTGCAGTGAGGAAAACGCGTGGAAGCTGTGCGACTGCATCAGGAGTCGGGGGGAGCGCCCTGTGGAGGAGCTCTACGCGGTTTTCATCTCCGACGAGAGGAGGATGGCGAGTGGGTGAGTTGTGGGGGTGGTAAACCAGAGGCGGGGGGAGGTGGGAGGCCCTTTAACTACCCCAGGCCTTTTAACTAGGGCCTGGGATAGGTGAGGCTTGGCCCCAGGCCCCCCTGCAGCAGCTGAGAGGCGTGCAGGCAGCACTACCCGGGAGCATGAAGAATTTCATTTGTTTCTGGCCTCCAGACCCCAGGCAGTATTTGCTCAAGACATCAAGGCGACAGCAGAACCTGAGAAACAGTAAAAGGAAACAGCTCAAGCTGCCATGCCAGAAGAGAGCCCTGCTCTCTCCTCTAGAAGCCCCAAGGATAAGGATACCCTCAGGGGAACAAAAGGTTCATGGCATTCTTTCCAAGCTTATAGAAGTTGCCCTAAAACAACAGATTAATCTTAATTAAAGGTTAAAGGTTGGGCTAGATGATCTTAAAGGTCTCTTCCAACCTGAGTGTTTCTATGAATGTCCTTACCTGACACGCTTGGATTGTGGGAAGAAGGAATCGCGGTGCCCCTAAGGGCTGTGGGCTGATTTTTCCCTCTCATCCCTCAAGTTAGGGGGTAGATTACATTATATGGTCCAGAATAGCGTCCAGTTTAATGTTTCTGAAAGATAAAAACTGGAGCAAGCTTTCTGACAGCAGCACTGATACAAGCTGATGAAATGCAGAGTTTAGCGAAGAACTTACCCAAGCCAAAACTAATCTCTGTAAGTCAGGAGTGGTTTATGGCAAATTGCTTAACTTTCAGATCCCGCTCTGGAAACAGAAGTCAGGGCACGGAGATGAGCCTGTTGTCTGGGTAAGGCCCTCTGTTCTTTCTTTGTCAGTATTGAAGTGCGTGCCTCTGCAGCTGAGGTCTGCAGGATCAGATGTGGGCAGTGTTAGATACCTCTGCTGGAATGAATTTAGGTTGATGTCCCCCCTGAGCATCAGGAAGCACTCTCGCTGTGCCAGAGGTCCCTTCCGACCTCAGCCATCCTGTAGTTCTGTACTAGTATTTCTTCTTCTACAGCAGCCTAAATGCAGACCTCCTTTTATTGTTCACAGGAAAATAGCAGTGAGATGGCCCATAAAACCGCCAGGTGACAAAGCTTAGTTAGCATCGGTAAGAGTGCACAACCGTTCTGTGAAAATGACTGTCTGGATTTGTTGGGGCCTGCCAGCTTTGTAGGATGTTAAATAGATGTCTTGTAACAAGCTGACGGGTGAAAATATCCATGTGGGTCTGACACGGGATGGAAAAACATGAGCAATACATGTCTTCAGGTGGCAGTGTGAATGTAAGCTCTTCCAGAGTTTTTGGCGTGTCGTTTAATTGAATGTAGTTCAGTAGTTGCCACTACAGAATTCCTTTTAAAGCTGTGTAGTTATGGTTATACTGCATGGGAGGGAAAAAATCAATTTTGCGTGGCGATTTGTTTCAGAAATTCTGTTTAAAAAAAAAATCTGTGAATTTCTGAAATTCTGTCATTACAGGATCATTTTCTGGAAAATTATCAGTGTGTTTATATTGTAAAAAAGGCTTGGTTTAAAAAGAGGTCCAAGCGTTATCGGGATGATCTGAGAAGGAATAGGAGTTAACAACAGCTATCTTCAATTTACTTTTTGGAAAACTGCAATGAATGGAAGTAACTAACACTGAAAATAGTAACTGGAGTTTCTCCAACCCCCTGCCATACCCGTGTTTCCTGCATGTTAAGGAATCAAAGATGTGGTATGAGGACATGAGGAGTAGCGTACTCTTCAGGTTAGCTGCCCAGGCTGATAGCAAAGAAGGCTACAAGTAATGGGGAGAATAGCAAGGCTTACCAAAAGGCATGAGGGCTGAGGCAGGCATTAGGAAACTGTTGAAGGATTTCTTGAAACAGCAAAAATCCCATGGCTTGCTGTAGCTGAGCAAACCAAGCTACCAGGGCATCTCTGAGAAGTTCCCATGACAGAAGTTCCCACATCGCCCAATTGAGGAATTCAGAAAAATATTGTTACCAGTAGCTGGCTTCAAGGACAAGGTCTATGTGACTGCTCATCACAAGGGGGTTGTTTTCTTGTAGTTGTTTGTCTGAGTGCTTTTGACCAATAATCTTGCGTGAAACACTGTCCGCCCCTGTTAAGTTCACTATAAAAGTTAGGCTATCCGGACAATAAAGTTGAACTGTGCTTTGTTATAAGTTGCCCCCTTAATTAATTTTCAGAGAGCATTGCATTAATAATAGAAAGGAATTTATTGAGTAAGCAACAGCAAGCAAAACAGCGCTGGGTGGCCGGGGAGTCTCAGCTCCGCCAACGGCACGTACCTCACCCCCGCCAGGGTCCCTTTTTATATCTTGGTAATTTCGGGATTACGCAGCACATCCTGGTATATTCTGCGACTGCGCGCACTGTTGCTAGGGGGTCGTCTCTGTCCCTCTGGTGGTCGTGAAGATGAAGGCCGTAGTCTTCCTAGCGTTGTGGTTCAACTTCTTTTTTTATTTGGTCATGTTGGCCCAGCGTGAGACAGGAAGGCAGGATGTTGATACACTAGTTTAGCAACTTATCAGGGGATGGTTACATGAGCTTTGCAGCAGGGTCTTTGAACAAAAGAGGCAACTGAGATGCAGAAGGAGAGAAGGGGAGGGGGTTCTCTTTTTTGTTACATTAAGCAAAAGAATTGTCATAGTGTCTAGCCAAGCATTATACAGTTCCTTACTTCAGCAGGGAGTTTTCACAACTCCCGTTCCTCAAACAGAACTCCTTGTTTTTATAATACAAAAGACAATGAACAAATATTTATTGTGTATTACATGCTTTATCACTCATATTGAGTTGGCTGCATTCGTTCCTTCAGCCGCGAACCGACAAGTGGTGCCCGAACAGGGACCTGTCAAACGGCGGCTGAAGCAGAGGGGCACCGGAACGCAGCGACCGGGGAGTCAAGAGCGATCGAACACTATTACAACGGTTGGTGTGTCGTCTCCGAAGACCTGAACTAAACAGTTCACCATCTGCGTGGGCTACAGGGCAAAAGCTGCAGGCTGATTACAGGGTAAGGCACGCATTCCTTTTGATATTACCATAGTGCAGGATATTGCCATAGTGCAGGAATAACAGGAAAATGGAGGACGAAGTAGCCCTAGATTTATTACAGCGCTTTTTGGAAAAGCGGGAAGTAATCACAATGCAACGCAAAATTCGGACAATAAAATGGAGCATGATCTGACTCTACTGGTGTCTGTCGTGCTTTTGGCCATGCTTACTGCAACAGGAAACCTCTCCTGGTGCTGGAACATCACAGGCCCGATACCCAAGCATCAGAAAGCAAAGATCTTTGGTATCTATTCTTTATTGCAAGGTCGCACCTCTCCAGCGTGTGCTCCATGCGACAACTCCAAGTCACCACAGCAGAACCCTGCTCCTGAAGATGACAAACCAGATGAAGAGAGTAATGAAAATGAGGAGATGACAGCAGCACCTGTAGATGCCAGTACACCCATTTCTAATGGCAAGTTGCATTTTATTCAGCTGCTCTTGTCATTCCTACCTTCTCTGTTCTTGATGCGCAACAGGTGTCTCTGATGCCTGGCTCTTTATGCCAGAGGTATTTTGTTTTCAAATGTACTTCAAAATGGGAGAGAGAAATCCAGAGGTCATTCATTCAATATAGTTATGAATTAAAGTTCAAAGAAAGTTGGTTTACAATATAAAAACAAACAAACAAAAAAAACAAACAAACAAACACAACTTTGATGGCCCAATTGACATTTAGTCGCCCCTAAATTGCAAATTCTTGAGGTAAAAAATGTTGTGGATGGCAGTTTCTGAATACTTAACTAGTTTTTAATTATGCACAATGGTATTTTTACCCCCACTCCACCCCTCCCTTCCCCAAATGCTAAAATCCTAGCTACCTCATACTGTGATTTCCAGTTGAAGGAGGGAAGTCTAACTAGTGAGAGTGGGAATTTTGCCATGGACTCCACCCATATCCTTTTGCAATACTATATGAATACTACGAATGTTGGGCAAAACCACAAAGTTTGTTTTTTCACAAAAGGTTTACCGAATCAGGAAGCATACGAGGTATAAGTCTTCCCGTTTTTTCTCCTTTGAATATTCCCTTAAAACTGTCTCATTAATTAAACTCTTCCAAACACGTATTCAGCTTTGGAAGTCTTCAGCTTGATACCAGACTCGAAGGAGAGCTTCTTTCCAGAGGCTTTTATGATGTTCATCTGTATTAGTTCATGTAGTAAGAGAGTGACTTTATCAAATAACCTCACATTGTATTAATACTGCCCATCCAAAGTAAGAATCCTCAGCATGTAAAATCCTGAAAGTGACTGTTTAGTGAATGAAATTCCGTAGCTGTGTGTGTGGTTTGTTTCTTGTTTTTAATCTTAATAGCAAACTGACCCCATGAACTTTCAACTCTTTTCTCAGCATATGTAGGGATATAGGCAGTGGTAGCTCAGTTCCTCTGTTTTCCTTATCAGTCGAGTAAGATGAAGATAATGGATTTTGAAGAAAGAATTCTTTTGGTTCTGTTTTGGATTATTTTTTTATGCTGTCTCTTTGTAGGTGTGTCAGAAAGAAAGCGCAGAAGGAACAACTGTGCGCGTGCTGCAGCAAAGAGAAGGAGGAGTTCTCAATTCGATAAAGAGAACAGAGTACCAACAGGTGACCAAAACGATAGTGCTGAAGAAGAGTTTGTGGAAAAACACGTTTCTGACATATGTCAAGTGAAACTTAACACTGAAAAGGAAAGCGCTAAGCTTTGTGGATATTCAACACCAAGATGGGGAACTATAGCTAATGAAAATCCAAGGTCAAATGGTAAGGGAGAAGTCCAATAAGAAGTCCTTATTCTTGCTGAGGAGGATTGCACTATTTATTAGCTTTAGCCTTCAATTTCACTCTGTTTTTTCTGTTACAGCTCTCAAAAATCATCACACAGTTTATTCCGTAATGATGTTGCTCCTCTAATTGTGCAAGCCAAGCCCACATGTTTGTGTAGGTGCTGGTGTTTTGATTCTAAAGTCTGTTTTTTTCTAATGGTACCTACCTGAAAGCCAGCAGTCACTGACAGTCACTGCCATTCTTTTATTGTACGAGGTGCTTTCCAATAACGAGCAGCTTAGGTGAAAAAGCTGCACTTCAAGATGCGTGGATCCAGAGTAACATGTGGAATAGGAGCTTTAAGCCCTAATGTTGTACTCTAAGATGTGTTCCCTAACCTGAATCGGCAACATGACTCTTTTTTTCCACTATTAACCTTTTCATGAGTGCTTTTTGTTTGTTTGTGGGTATTTTTGTTTGCTTTTTTTGTTGGTCTTAGTTTCTAATTTTTATGGAGCAGTGACTTTAGCTGGAAAGAAGGGAGAAGCCAAGTATTTCTCAGTGAAGACGATAACAACTCTGTCTCTGTATTTGTAGAAAGAGACTGTTTTGCAGGTACAGGATACTTCACTGAGACTGTATTCTAGATAAACAGAAAACCTGACTGAAGAAATTTGTGTCCTTCCAGATTCCTGGGCATTTCAAGCAGTGACTCCTGAACGTTCTTGGGAAGAAGACCAGCAACAGACAAGGGATGAGAACACTGTAAAAGTTCCTACAGAGACAGACTACACAGTTATCGTGGATCGCTCTGAGCTCAAAGTATGTCTAATTTCAGCTTTTTTTTAATGCTCAAATAGGACATATTCCTGCGACATGTAAAATTGCAAATCAAGCCCATTGTTAACCAATACCAATTAAAACAATTAATTGGAAGGACATATAGATAGTGAAATAATTCAGCCTGTAATGCACTGTGACTGTTTAGTTTCCACAGCTCGTGTAGATTTCTGTAGGCTACCATTTGCTTCTGGTCATCTGTAGCTACATACTCGCAGGCTCACACAGCTAGTGGACAGCTGTGGCAGTGGAAGAAGGTGCTGCCACTAGCTTGTCCCTGTTGCTGTGCCAGAGATGATCACCTCTGCATCTTTGGTAATAGAAATGACTGTGTGAGAGAGAGGTGATTGCTCCAAGCAGTCACTTTGCTATTTACCCACCCCTGAATTTAAAGGTAGGATTGAGCAAACGAATCCACCTTTGCTCTGGGCGTTTGAGCAATCTGTTCTGCCAGCAGAGTTGTGGGCATGGCACACGTGGGTAAAGGTAATCACCTAAGGGTGCTTCCTTTTCCAGCTGGCACAGCTGTATCTACAAGATCTGCAGCCTTTTTACAGTGCCCCGCGCTGCTGCAATGCTTCTCTAATGAACTGCAACAGTGGCTTTGCTGTGGCAGCAGCTGTCCTACAACGAGGATCGTGTCATTCCCTGCTGCTTTGGGAGCAGTCGACTTGCAATTACGACCATGGATGTGATAGATTGATTAGTAGTAAAGATTGTCTGAAATTTCAGCCTTTCCTTTCTCTGAACTATGAAAAATTAACTCATTTTCCCTGCTGAAATCTCATGGGATATTTAATCTGTTCTCTGAATTGTCACATTTTATTTAATAGCATAAGAAAAAGTAGGATGTCACTTGTATTGTTACTGTTCAACCTCCGAAAACATATAGAGCGTATTCAAAGGATCTTGTACTTTTTGTGTACTTTTTGCTCATTATAATATCATTATAATAGCAAAACACACCTCCATCCCAAAAGCTACCCGCCTCCAAGGTGCGACCACCCCTCACTGAGCATGCGCCCTGAATTTCCTATTATTTTAAAGGGAGACGGGAAAACTTTACACCAATCATAACTAAGATATGCTTGACTAGAGCCACTCAAGCTCCACCTAAAAGATAGAAAATAATATAAATTGGCCCAAGAGAGAGGGGATGTTAGGGAAGATACCACCGTCAGGGGAGATACCATCCCGAGGAAATACAACATCCTGACTATGTCTGTTTTTCTTAAGAAAACTGAAACACACGTGTAGCTTTTTAGCATCTGTCCCAATATCAGTGTAGTATTAAGAATTTTTTCTTTCATGTGTATTGTTTGGCTATGTAATAATAAAAAGTGAGCCACCATCTGTTTCGTTGTTGTCGTCATTTTTTAATCTTACACTTAAAACTGTATAAACTTTTAAAAAAAAGTTTGTGAGCGGCTTACCGCATTCTTGTTGTCTTGGTTATATGTCAAAGGCAAACACAGGAGGAAGAAAAATACGTTAAAATGTAAATTTTCAATATATATTATTACATTGAAAAGGTAATAAAGGAGTCGACCTCCTTTTTCCTTAAAGTTTTCTTCAACTTGGTTAATGTCACAGATTTTTAGAACCACAGAACCATAGAATATCCCAAGTTGGAAGGGCCCCCTAAGGATCATCGAGTCCAGCTCCTGGCACTACACAGGTCTACCCCAAAATTCAGGCCATGTGACTAAGCACAGTCCAAACGCTTCTTAAACTCCGACAGGCTTGGTGCAGCGACTGCTTCCCTGGGGAGCCTGTTCCAGTGTGCAACCACCTTTTCGGTGAAGAACCTCGTCCTGATGTCCAGCCTGAACCTCCCCTGCCTCAGCTTGACACCATTCCCTCAGGTCCTGTCACTGGTCTCTAGAGGACAGCTTGGTGCCTGCCCCTCCACTCCCTCTCTGGGTACAGAACTGGCTGCAGGGCTGTGCCCAGTGGCTTGTGGCTAATTAAGTCCAGCTGGTGTCCCATTACAAGTGGTGCCCCCCAGGGGTCGGTACTGGGGCCTATCTTGTTTCATACCTTTATTGATGACCCAGATGAGGGGATGGAGCGTACCCTCAGTAAGGTGCCAGATGACACTGTTGTGGTTCCGCTTGAGTGGGCAGCTGAGCTCCACCACAGCCGCTCTCTCCCTCCCCCTCCTCAAAGAGGAATGGGGAGAAAATATGTGAAAAGGGCTCAAAGGTTGAGATAAGGACGAGAAAATCACGCAGTAATGATTGTAACGGGCAAAACAGACTCGGCATAGGGAGGTAGTAAGATTTATTGCTTATTACTAACAAGCTAGAGAAGTGAGAAACAAAGGAAAGAAACCAAAAGCACCTTCCCCCCATCCACCCTCTTCCACCTTCTCCCCCCGAGCGGCGCGGGGGAATGGGGGTTATGGTCGGTCTACAGCGCTTCTTCTCTGCCGCTCCTTCTCGGTCACTCTCGTCCCCTGTGCTGTGGGGTCCCACCCACGGGATGCAGTCCTTGATGAACTGATCCGGTGTGGGCTTCTTACAGGCAGCAGCTCTTCCAGAACTGCTCCAGATATGGGTCCGTACCATGGGTCCATCCCTCAGGAACAAACTGCTCCAACCTGGCTCCCCCACGGGCAGCTGCTGCCAGGTCACCTGCTCTTGCGTGGTCTCCTCTCCATGGGTTGCAGCGTGGAACCCTGCTCCACCGTGGTACTCCATGGGCTGCAGGGGGACATCCTGCTTCACCATGGTCCTCACCACAGGCCGCAGGGGACTTCTGCTCCGGCGCCTGGAGCACCTCTCCCCCTCCTTCTGCACTGACCTTGGCACCTGCAAGGCCGTTCCTCACTCCTCTCACTCTCCCAGCTGCTGTGTGTTGCAGCATTTTTTTCCCTGTCTTAAATCTGCTCTCACAGAGGCGCAAAACAACATCGCTTATTGGCTCAGCTCTGGAAAACAGTGGGGCCCTACCAAACATGGGGCAGCTTCTAGATCCTTCTCACAGAAACCACCCCTATGGCCCCCTGCTACCAAAACCTTGCCATGTAAACCCACTACAAAAGGGTAATGTAAATACCCACTGTGGTGCTGGGACAAGACACTGGGACCAATGATGCCTTTTTATGACGTTTACCAGAAAGTGTTTAAGGACTGTGAAATTCCTGTTGGAATTGAACCAATAAACCTATCAGGAACCAATGAAGCAATTTTTTTTCCTGATACTAACTCAAAAGGAATAATTCTTGTGTTGGCAGTGCTCTGGCTTCTGTTCCTCTGCTGTGGGTGCTCAGAGGAGCTGGGTGCATCCTGCTTTTTTAAATAAAACTAAACAAGATCTGGTTTGAGGTGTGGATTCACCATTCTGGAGCTGGCTAGCCCAGCCTGGGGTTTTCTTTTAAGTCTTCCTCCTACAAATGAATGAGGTTTGATTCTGCAAAGACAAAAGTTTGGGGCTGGAAGGAAAGAAAGCACGAAGGTAAGCAGCCTGGGGAGTAACAAGCTCTGGGTGTGCCAAGAGGCTTCTGAAAGGCAGCAGGCAGCTCCCTGCTCGGGCTGCTGCTGTGACCTGTCCGTTGTCGCTGCAGAAGCTGCCTCGAGCAGCCGGGTGTGTGTGAGGGCAGGGACTGAGGCACCTGCTGCTCTGCAGCTCCCTGTTCCAGTTGTTGGCTGCATTCCGGTTCTCTGATGCTCCTCAACTCTTCCACATTGCTGTTGCAGGGAAAAATAAAATCTTTTCTCATGCTCACTGTTCCTAAGAGCTAATGAGACTTGCTGATCAGGTAACGGGATTACAGCCACGGGCAGAGGGCAGCTTCAGGACAAACGCCACACTGCAGGCGCTGGAAATAGAGGTTCTGGTGGCTCTGTACGGTCTGCAGAGCTGTTGGACTGCTGCTCAGCAAGCGCGCTGTGAGCTGCTCTGAGTTATACTTTCAAACGTTTTTTCTTGGGATTTTCATGGTAGCTGTATGTGCTACAGAAGCTGAATCAAGAACTCTTAATATTTCACTTCTCTGCTCTTGTTTTAGACTCCAAGATGAACTTGGATGATTTCATCAGTATGAATCCCAAAGTGGGCTGGGGCTCAGTGCTGCCCTTATCGGACTTTGTGCGCCAGTTTGGCAGACAGACTCATCTCAGCTGCTCCGTGAAAGCACAGTGAAGTAAAGAAGCTCTTTTTGCTGCAGGTTGCAGGCGGTTTGATTTCTTTTGCTGCTCTTACATTGTATTTATGAATGGTTTATGTTTCTTTATATGGAATAAGCGTTTGGGCAAATAGAGTACCCAGGGTACCCTGAACTGAATAAAGTCTTTTATTTTTATTACAAAAGAGTGAACTGCTTTTTTTTAATAAATCAGATCAGAGGTTGACATCCCCCCATAAACGTGTTGCTCTGTTGTCAACAGAGGCCACCCCTGCAGCTCCCCCCACTACCAAAACCTCGCCACATAAACCCAGCACCTGGGCGTCGCTCAACAGAGCCGTTGAGCTGTAGAACATCAGGTTGTCATCCCTCCAGACATGAGTTTGCCCCTTGATTAAACTACTGAGCTCCCATCCTGAGCTGGTTCCTGGTGGCTGAAATCCATGGCACGCTCCCTTTAGTGAGGCTCAGATAGGAGAATTTGCCACGTTTGGTCTAATTTCAGGATCAAGGCTGTTAAGGAGAACCATTATTCGGAATGTAGAAGTTAAAAATCAGCATGAAGAAACGTTCCTTTTTCTCTTTAATCACTCTTTAGCTTGTCCTTTCCCACAGAGAAGTCCTGACTTTCTGTAGTCCATTCCTATTACAGTATTTATGTGCTGAGAGTCCCCGTGTGGTGCCTTTTTGGACTCGGTCACACTTGAGTTAGGCATTGAACAAACAGAAAAAAGTTCCTCACAGTCCCACTCTCTCCTGGCTTGTGTGTGCTGGTGGTCACTGCAAATTCTCCAGTAACCCAACCCTACAACATTCGCTACTGAAAATGTTCGGGCAAGGCCCTGACGGCCTTACATCCACGCTGGGGGCACCTTGTCCCATGGGTCGGTCCTCTCACTTCCACCAAACGATGGATGCAGTGAGCTGGGATGGGACAGAAGACCCATGTCTGTCCTGCCTCTTTCTCCTCCACTGCTTCTGTTTCATTAAGAATACCATTTATTCAATTCAACCTCTTTTATGTGCCTGTTTGGGACTTTAGGGGAAAAAAAAAAGCTCTATTTTTCTGACACGCATTTTCTCGGTCAGTGCATTTCTGCATTTCTGCAGGCCCGGCTCGTGGAAATAAAATTTTTCAGTTGGCCAGCAGAGAGAGCAGTCGGCACGCAGCAAGCGTGCGGCCAGCTCCCCTCCAGCACGGCGTGCCAGGAGCTGTTACAGCTCAAAACAAATCATCCCACAGCGGCGCAGAGGTGATCTGTGTCTCACGGGGTTGGGGCACCGGGTTTCGTGTTGCCCTTGTCAGCCTGGGCCCCTGAGGGCATCGAGGAGCGTGCCAAGGCCTTCAAACTAAGCCTCTGCATGGGACCAGCATTCATAATTCCTACCGAAATGGGTGCGTGGCACTTGAGGATGTCAAACTAATCGATATATGGATTTGGGGGGCTAAATTTAGGCACCCGGGAGGCTGCAATCCGATCTGCACCATTAAGTAGAGCGGCTGGGAGGCACCAGGCTGCACTCGTATGAATCACATTCCAGGATCAGAGCCCGGGTCGGAACATTTTGGCCTGCGGGGCCCTTCCCTGCTCGCCCGCTCGGCGTCATCCAGCCAGGACCTCACGCGTGCTGTGAAACCATCTGCTGTGAAAACGGTCAGCTCTAGGGTCTGCTTTTCCCTTGTTAGGATGAATTGGGCCGAATTTCCCTGTTTTACGGTGCCGTGAGGTTGTTTTCTCCTTTTCCCCTTGCCTTTCCAGCAAACGTGGGTGGTGTGTTGAAGGACACGGCAAGGAGCAGGCAGGAGGTGTGAAAACCTCAGCTGGCTCCACGTTTGGTGGGGCTGCCCTCTTAGGGCACTTAGGATTCGCAGGCCCGGGGAATCTCAACGTGAAACCCATCTCCACGTCCGCCTGCA